GCGCAGCGCTCTGTGAGCCTGGATGGAAGGTGATGGACCTAGATAGCTGGAGTGGAAACCAGTGGAAGAAGTTGTTCTTTATGATGTCCAGATCAGCTACAGTACCATAAAGTGTGCGGTGTTGACTGTCATTGACATCGAAAACCTTAGAATACCTTAGATTCCTTAGATATTTGGGAGTTGCCCCCGTGGCACAGCGGTTGCATTTTCAGGAGCTAATCTATCGACAGTGAAGGAAGCCTGCGCTGAGGTGGATTCCTTGTTTCGTTGCGAGCAGGGCAAGTTTCAGGTGCGAGAAACATTGAGTTGAGTTTCAGATGCGACTGCTCAAAGAATTTGTGGGAACTGCGATTGCCGTCCTACTTGGCTATCAGATTTGGTGCTAGACTCAGGTATGTATTTCCGTATTTACAGGTTCCTGTTTGCAGCCATAGATTTTGAGAGTTCAGTCTACGACTAGCTATGCCAAGGCTTTGTCGGCTTTTGGCATCCAGTACCACAGTCAAACGCCTGCAACTGTTCAAACAACAATCTGTGGAAACATGGGGAACACCGGGGAACCGTTCCGCGAACCAATGTCAGCTTTTTAGACTTTCCAGTCCGTCTACCAGAAGTGAACATCCTTGCCAGAAGTCTCATCCAAGAGTCCAAGAGGGTCCAATGCCAAATCAAGGCACCCACATGCTGGCGCCAAAGCTGCCCGATCGAGTGGGGGCACCTGAAAGCGGTTTTTCTTTCCGAAAGACGAGGTGCCCATTTGTTTTAGAATCAGAGATGTTCAAGTAGATAATTGAGAAGCATAGACAAGCGTTGGATTTGTCACCCAATATACTAGATCACAGAATACCACGTCATGACTTCAGATCTCCATGTGTGCGCATCATACAGGAAGGGACATTGTTTTTGAACCGTAATGTCCGTACAAACTTGGAACCACTATATCACGAAAGCCAGCCAATAGGCAAGGCTTGAGGTTGACGGAGCGAACGAAGTGAGTTGAAGGGGGTGTGGGGGGGTGGTTGCGAGCAGGCCAATCTCGGAGAAGCTAACCCAGAGTCTTGGTGGAGGAGAGCGAAAAACAGAGGTGGCCCGGAGGTAGTGAAAAATGAGTGGTTTTTAGGGATGGTTGTGATGCAAGTGATGTAATTGACGGCGAAGAGTGCATCATCAGCATCATGAGGGGCTCAGGAGGCCATGTAAACTGCTTTTACTAGGGGTGGGACTTTACGTGGATGAGAGGAAAGGGAAGCCAAGCGGACGTGAAAAGTGATTGGAATTGACCCTATACTTGAGAGCAGGAAAGAGATTGCAGCTGCGGGCAAGCTTAGCGGCAAGGTCTAGTTGCTGGACTCAAAAGGGCACCCCATATGGGGTGCATGACATCTGTTGAGGGCATGCAAGAGAACAGCTTGCAGCGGGCTGAGTTGCCGGACTGAAAAGGGCACCCCATTTGCGGTGGAAAGAGTTCACGTCGATGAGAGGACAGGGAAGACAAGGGGACGGGAAAAGTTAGAACTGGCCTTAAACTTGAGAGCAGGAAAGAGATCAGATTGCAGTTGCGGGCAAGCTTAGCGTAGTTGCCATACTGAAGAGGGCACCCCCTATGCGGTGGGAGTTCACGTGGATGAGGCAGGAAGGTTCTGACTTGCTTCAGAAATTGTTGAGGGCGGGAGAGAGAACAGATTGCAGCGGGCAAGCGTTGGAGGAGGAAGGTTTGGAACTTTGTCGCGGTGATCCCCTCGACCCTCCATACCCATCTTTGCTGACAGCACACAGCAAGCTACCACTCTCACTTTCTTCGAGGGTGCCCTTTTTCACCTCCAAAACAAACCCGAACCACGACGAACCCGAACCTGTATACTATACTTTCTGTTTCTATCCCTCTCAAGTGGCTACGATGTCAACTTCACCACCTAAACGCACGCTTTGCCCGATGTCAGCCAATCCCTTCATCTCGGCGCTCCAGTAGCTGCAATATCCACTTCACCACTTCCAGCTATACGTCTCCTCTCGAAAACCTGACCCCCCATAGCCATAACCATATTTGCTCACTGATTGGCACCGCACAGCAACCTACTACACCTCACTTCCTTCGAGGGTGCCCTTTTTCATCTCCAAAACGCGCCCGAACCACGACAAAAAAGGGCACCCCCCCCAAACCTGTGTACTATACTATACTATCTGTTTCTACCTCCTATGAGAGTGGCTGCGATGTCATGTCAACTTCACCACTTCCGGCTACTCTTTCTCCACTCTACACACCCCTGACCTAAAACGAAAACAAGCGGCCCTGCCTGCAAACGCCAACCTAACCCTAAGGGCACCCCCCTTGGCGCAAAGGCTGGTTTTCGTCCCCTCCCTTCTCAGGTATATATATATATATAGTGATTATACAGTGCGTATTTACATACGTGGAACTGTCATGGACTCATGGACTGTCAGTGAATCTTCTCGACGAGGTCGTCACTGGGGAGCGGTCGCACCTTGGCACAATCGGTGGACACTTTCGCCTTATTGATTGGAGGCCGTCGCTACTAGGTTGGAGGCCATCGCTAGTAGGTGGAGGCCGGGGGCCATCGCTAGTACAAACAGGAAGCTCAGCAAGTGAAGGCTAGTTCCAATTTGTGTGGAATCAGATGGAGTCAGGGTACCTGTGTGAGTCTCCGGGTCACGTTGTGTGACTGCATTGTTTGTTCCTTCGTTGGAATCGAAAGGGGTAATAAGCTTTGGAACCGATGGACTGCCACATTGTGAACGCAACGAGTTTTCTTCTTGATGAACACGATTGTTCCAGTGATGACCTTCCAGCCCGCCTTCAGTCTGGGCCCATTCTCAGGCTTAGACTGCGAAGAGTATGGCGGCCCCTATTTTGGTGCCGTGTGGCTTCCTAATGATCTATCATTTACCGGTCACTGCCCTTGCAGACAGCAGGAACCAACGGCATTAGCGGACAATGTGACGATCCTCGTATCATTAGTTTGAGGAAGAGAATTGCCACGTGCATCCTGCATCAAACTGCAACAAACTGCATCCAACTGCACTCTGAAACTGCCCCCATCGACACACTGAGACCTGCAAGCTGCTTTGCGACCCTGGGTATCAGTGGTCGAATTTGCAAAGCACCTGCCAAACCTTCTCGACGACTCCAGAGGCTTGGAGTTGAAGTACAGATGACAGACGAATGAGTAACTCAAGATACAAACAGCCGGTGCACCAAAGCTTCCTTGAGATGAAGACATGTGAAAAGACAGATGTCTCAAGCTGAAGTCAAGATTTTTCTTGCGCGCATCAATTTTCTAAGTATATATATATATTATATAGTATATATTTATTGACAGTAAGGTTCCAGCCACCTATACAAGTTCTTCTTTGTCCTTCCACGATTCCACCAGGCAGCTCCAACCTTTCATCCGAACGTGAGCTGCACGTTAGAGGGCCGAGATGCGATCAAAACTTATATTGAACTAATTCGAAGTGCAGGTGTGGATTTTGGACCGAGATTTGCTGTACAGCACAACTACAGTATATATATATATTATATATATGGTGCGACTCAATGAAGGTGCTAACAACAAACTACCCAAAGCTGCACCTGCTTCTAAATCCTCGCATCCATGGGTCACACCTTTTCATTGTAGCACAAAGATAAAGGAATTCTAAGCCATTCCTTCATATTCCTTCCACTTCTCAGTCTTGGAGTTGACTGGACCATACTAAGGTTTACTACTTGTAGCCAGAAGGCTCCTTGATTGCCATCCCTGGTCACTAGTGTCACTGGCCATTCCTATGTTGCGACCAAGGCCATCATCTTGTGGCGACTACGGTGCGAGGAACGAGAACGAGAGGGAATGGCTGGTGGGCGCCAGCATTGTGTATGCCGACAACAGCCGGGTTGGATAGCCCCAGTCACTGGCGGGCTTTGATTGGAGATGTGAACATGTCTGATCATTTCTGCATGTCGCGTTTGAGGCTTTTTACTGAGAAAACTGGGTTGATACATAAATATACATGTAACTGTATGTACGGTGCATCCAGGAATTTTATGGAACACTGGAACACTTGATTCTTGTTTTTTCTTGCACAAAGGAGCTAAACCAGGCTAAGCCCATCCAAGCGCCGACTGCATCGCCACAAAAGTCCTAGGAAATCACCGCCACGGCGACTCTGACATGCTCGTGACGGCCTCAAATGCACTTGTCGCCTCCGTTCTTGTGGTGTCAAAAAGGAAGGTTCCAATTCGGAGGATGTTCAAATATGTTCGCTTTAACATAGTGACTCGCAAACATGGGGACAGTAGATGTTGATCCTATGTAGATGAATAACAGATTGACAACAGTTTGTTTGATATAATAAACGTGGACAACAAAAAACATTAAAATATACAATAACTTCGACTACTTAACATATTCCAATCAAACATTCTTGACATATATACACTGACAATTATCACATAATAGGATTAATGTCTTTTTGATTCGCGTTATACAAATAATAAAACTGACACTTTACATAACAAGGCGGACTTGACCAATGGTGATTTGACCGTACTTGAATCCATGGTTGTGTATGGTGTAAGGTTTGTATGCATGCCTTAATTATATAATAGTTATGTGTCAATTATATATTGCTTTGATTATGAACAGGTATGATCCAGACACAAAAGTTGGTACTGTTGGTTGTTGTACCATACAATGACGTCCACAACAAACTCTTGTGCTTAAGCCTAGCACTCATGCCAAGTGGATCAAGAATCAAGTTGGTGCCTGAAGTAACAACCTCAATGATCAATGAGGTTGAGACCTGCAAGCCTCAAGGAGAAGTCCTAAAAAACAGGAATTCTTCCAGGATTGCTGAACGTTTTTCCCTCGACCTAGGGAGGGCTACTTCCCGGCTGGCTCGGCCTTTGGTTTGGAGGGCTCAGTGGAACTCAGGCGTCCAAGAGGGTGGGCAGGGCTAGGAGTTTGTACTCGGGCGAGTTGGTCGAGCGAGCGAAAACAACTGTTTGTAAAGCTAGGCCCAGGCGGCCAGAACTGGGACCTGGAGATCTAAATTCAACAAGGTTGGCATTGAGAGATGCACGGGATGTAATTCATTGACTTGAAGCCTCCTTTATTTCAAGCCATCAAGAGCTCACACCAAGCTAGCAGCATTTCTGGATGCAAGAAGAGTACCATGATTCAATGATGAACAATAACCAGGACCGAGCCAAAAGGTGTTCTGAGCGGCTGTGTGGCTTTCCAAAGCGATGTAGCAAGATGTGCAAACAGATTACGATCGGAATTTGTGTGTGGCCATGGCGATGAGGATCCCAGTCCGGCAAATGAATGGCAAAGTGATCATTCTTGAAGTGATGCCGAACCTAAGCATCCGGGAGTTTAAGCAAAAGCTAAAAGAATGGCAGCCGTGTGAAGACGAGGTCGTGCGCAGTATGACCACGGTAGATTTAGTTGTTGAGGGGCAGAAGTTGCAGGACGCTGATGAAACACTTGCTACCTCCAGAATTTCTCCAGAAGCTGTTGTGAATGTTCTCTTTACAATCAGCCCAGTTGAGTGCTCAAGCAGACAAGACTCGGGTTGTGATGTGAGAGACCTGCTTGTCGTGGCCGTCCCAGAGACTGTAGCGCACATCGCAGAAAGTGCCTTTCTCAAATGTGTTTCTTTGGTCGAAGTGACAATCCCCAAGTCAGTTGCTTTGATTGGGGACAATGCTTTTGGCTTTTGTAGCTCACTGCAGACTGTGGAGATTCCAAACTCTGTGTCATACCTTGGACACTCTGCATTCAGAGGGTGCAGGTCTTTGGCAAATGTCACAATTCCGAATTCTGTAACTCGCATTGGCTGCTTTACATTTCACGGCTGCATCTCCTTAAAGAGTGTAACGATTCCTCGCTCTGTGACGAGCATCGATTTCTTTGCCTTCGGTGGATGCAGCTCTTTGACGAGCTTGACAGTGTCCGACTCGGTGACTCAAATTGGAGCCTTTGCCTTCAAAGGTTGCAAGTCCTTGGCAAGCTTGATAATGCCTGATGCAGTGACTGACATCGGGGACTTTGCTTTTGAAGGTTGCAGCTCATTGTCACGCTTGGCAATCCCCAGCTTTGTAACGCGTATTTCACCTAGTGCCTTCCAACACTGCAGCTCCTTGGAAACCTTGACCATACCCAACTCTGTGACAGAGATTGCAAGTGATGCCTACCGCGACTGTCGCTCCTTGAAAAGCTTGGTGATTCCCGACTCTGTGACCCAGATTGGGGACTGTGCTTTCAGTGGCTGCCACTCGTTGATAAGAGTGGTGCTTCCGAACTCTTTGAACCACATTGGACAGCGTGCCTTTTTCCGGTGCAGCTCTTTGTCAAGTTTGACAATCCCAAACTCCGTGTGTAACATTGGGGTTCGTGCATTCAATCGATGTAGCTCATTAGAAAGCTTGAACATTGGCAACTCAGTGAGACACATTGGAAGTCACGCGTTCGATGGTTGCAGCTCGTTGACACACTTGGCAATCCCGAAGTCTGTGACTTGCATTGGAGTTGGCGCTTTCCAAGACTGCAGTTCGTTAGCTCATGTGAGAGTTCGAGGCCGGAAGACGAAGTGCCCTCGCAGCGCTTTCGGCTGTCCAGCTCAATTGAGGTTTCGAAAGTCTCCCAGCCATTCTTAGGGTTCTGGTCTTTTCACAGCTGCGAGTGTGAACAAAAAGGAATTAAGGCATGCATTGCTCAGCAAGAGATCACGAGAGGTCAGGAGAAACATGAATCTATGTGATTAATTGTGGACAGCTTTTCAGCTCGGGGCTTCTTTGTGCTCGTCAAACAGGGTCATTACACTTCGGACTATTACAGGACTGGTTATTAAGCTTTGGGCTTGATCGAGGGCGCTCACCGGTGTGTTTGGCCATATGTACGGCACATTCATGCCTCTTGAGATCTTCGAAGTGCATTTGACTGGGCAGGCTTGCAAACTGGCAGGCCCGAGCGAGTGCTCTCGTTGTGGTGTCGTGCAGTGTGCACATCTTCCGACTTGGTGGTCACTTGTCGTGGCAGGCGCAAGGATTTTCTCGTGTTTGGTGGTCCAAAGTCGACTCTTCGTGGCAGGTGCAAGAGATCAGAGCCACTTTATACTTCGATGTGTAAATTTCTTGGGAGGCGCAGCGCTTCGAACTTGGTGGTCTTTGGCATGCACATGTGGATCGTTTCTGGACCTTGGGAGAAGTATCGAGCGAAAGTGTTGCCTTCAAACTCGGACTTGTCTTTGGAAGTGCTATATTGCTGCGTAGCGCACTGGCAGGGCTGCAAATTGAATCTTCGTGTGCAGACTTCATGGCAGGGCAACGGTTCTTGTGAACCACGAAGTGCAGATTCGCGGCGTGTGCTTCCCAGATGTGTGCTCCCAAGTGTATGTGCGCTTGTTTATGCCTCCGGGTCGGAAACCGAACGTGTGGTTTCGCTAGTTTTTACAATCGATATCAATCGATATATTTTGCACTTTTCCGACCCGGTGCCGGTGGATGTCAATGTTCTTAGACGATGATGATGCTGATGCTGATGATGATGATTTGTTGATGGGACGACAGACGATACTACGGGAGGTTTTGGCGGGGGGGTGGGGAAAAATGTTTAAAAACCGTTACTTCAAAGAAGTTTTCTAAACTCAAAACAATAGCAGTATATAAACTCAAAAATTATTAACAAAAACAATCACAACAGACTACCACATATAACCTCATTCATTTTTCAAACGATAACTACTAACCATTTGGTACCCCGTTCATTGTTCAAACCATAACTATAACTACTAACCATTTGGTACCTCATTCATTGTTCAAACTCATTACAGTGAATACACAACTATCTCATTCATTCCACAAAATCATCACTACTAACCATCTATTACCTCATTAATTCCTCAAAACCTAGCTACAAACAATCTATTACCTCATCATACCTCATCCCTTTTATTGAAATCATAACAGTCAATACATCACCACCTCATCCATCCATACCCAGAACAAAACAACCAAGCAACACACAAAAACAAACTAAGCAAAGACCAACATTTAAAAGAAACAACAACATAGCATAACCCCTCACCTTTAATAATCCAATCTTCAAATCCATAATTCTAATAGATGTTTTTTGAAATATGTTAGTAGTAAATGTCTTCAAGAACTGTTAACTTAAATCAAAGGCTTGTATTCTATTATACTATCTTTATCTTGGTCTCCTTCAATAGCGGTCTTTATTTCTTCAACTGCTTTGTGTAATGCTTCATCTATAATATCTTCTACATACTCATCAAAGTCATTCATAAAGTAAATCTCTCTATAGCTACATTCATTTTTCCATATTCCTTTTCTGGGCATTTTGCCACCAATTGAACTTCAATAGTCGATAAGTTAAATCATTTTCTACTTCTTCATAAATCAAAGATAGTAATTCTTCTTGTTCTTCTGCTATTATGTATTCTATACGTTTCAAACTAAATGACACTCCCTCTCTCATAATACAGTATTCATGTTTGTATATTTTTTTCTTGATGTCAAATGTCTTGTCATTTTAGGAACAAGTCTTGAAATATTTTTTTTTGTTTTGTATTCTCGTCAATGCTTCACTATGTTCTATTTTCACATATTCAGGTTCTCCATGAGTATATGATACAATATTACTCAACACATTTACTGGCAAATCCTTCATACAATCCATCCACTAATATACTTAACTGACTAATCGCTAAGTAAATATTCTAAGATTAATATAAGGCGTTCTTTTTTCAAAAAAACTTCAAGATAGATTAAGTAAATACAATATATAATATTATAGGATGGAAAAGTTACAGACTATCTGTTGAGTATATAATGATTTAGCAGAAATACCAAAAAGGAAGAACATAACTAAAGCCCGTAATCATAGATGACAAGAAATTCAGATGCAACAAAGACATGCTGCTTGGTTGTTTTGTTTTGGGTATTGAATGGATGAGGTGATGATGTATTTATCAATAAAAAGGGATGAGGTAATAGATGGTTAGTAGCTATGACTTTTTACGAATGAATGAGGTAATAGATGGTTAGTAGTGATGATTTGTGGAATGAATGAGATAGTTATGTATTCACTGTAATGATTTTGAACAATGAATGAGGTACCAGATGGTTAGTAGTTATGGTTTTGAAAAATGAATGAGGTTATATGTGGTAGTCGGTTGTGAATAATTTTTGAGTTTCTATATTGCTATTGTTTGAGTGTTAGAAAACTTTTGAAGTAACGTGTTTAACATGTTTTGGGGGCGGCTTGTTCCGTTCGTGTGATCAGTAAAACACGATGGAGATGAGCTGTTGATGTGACGACAGACGATACTACGGGAGGTTTTCCTGGTTTCGTTCGTGTGATCAGTAACACAGGATGGTGATGAGCTGTTGATGTGATGACAGAAGATACCAAAGTCGCTCTCTTCGAAATCTTTCCTCATTGAGCGAAGTATTCGGTCTTGGCAGTGGCGCTTCATGCGCACAGGTTCGAAGGACTTGATGTCACTGTGCGGCAAACAACTGCCAAAGGACATGTGAAAAAGGCAGCAAACAAACGCGCGAGTTTTGCGTTGCATTTCCTATGGGATTTTGCTGGTTTCTCAAAGTATCCATAATAACACTCACGAAGCGACGCCCTAAATTTAGGAAAATATGTAGAGATCACTGAGGGCTTTTAGGGCACCCAGTCAGGCTCCGTGCATAGATTATGTGTGTTTGTTTATGTGTGCTTTGATGTGTAGGGTGCTTTGGATCGACATTGTTTGGGGTTTGTTTCTGAGATGAAGACTGCCCCCAGATCTCCCCAATAGGTTTGATAACCAACCATCATCGACAACCTTCCGAACTTGTTGCACCCCAGCAAGTCTCAATACAAACATATAATGGCATGTGCCATTTTGGGTAATTTGGTTGTTCGCGCATGTTCAAACCCACACAAGCATGTCAACTCTGTGATTTGTGGTCCTATTTTTGGCCAAGAGCAGACTCAGACTCTTTTGGCCGCAGGTGCGGGCCAGTAGTGGACAAGGAGAATGAACCAGAGGTTGAGTGGAAGTTGACCTACACCGGTGCAGGGGTCCTGGGAATCCCAGGCAGGTGGCAGCTGCGGAACCAACCCGACAGTAGTTCTCAGAAGCGAAACTTTGACTTGCATTTCCATTCAATCTTTTTGGTTCAAACCCCACAGGGCACAAGACAAATGTTTGTGGAATGATAAAAACAATGGGATGTTTTTCAACCTGTGGTGGGTACCAGCATCTCCAAGAAACCCTTGATTGCAGACCTTGCATGGCCAAGGATGCACCCAGGCGTTTACATGGATACATTTCCATAAATCACGGTTTTTAACGATCCTTTCGTGTGATGGTCGGGATTTGCAAGAACGTGTGGAATCGCCTAGAACTGGCCTTTTCTAGCCACACTGGACCATATTGATGGCAATTCCCACCACATCAGTCAGTCAAGCTGCTGAACTTTGCGGCACTGAACATGTAAAAGGTTTTGTGGAAGACAACGTCCCAAAATGCGTTTGGGACCTGGGACACTGAAGCATCATCTCAGATTCCCCATCTCAGATCATCTCAAAGATCAGGGATGCGAAAACTAAAACCTATCCTGGGAGCCTGGGAGCACGAACATAATTTTGGGACCAGGTTGTTGGAAGATTTAGAGGGAAGGCTGAGTTTGGATCACGCTGACCAGCGTTAGGACCGTTACGATGACAGCCAAAAACATATACATGCTATGTTTTTTGTTTGAGGTTTGAGGGATTGACAGAGAAAGTTTCATGTTTTTTGTGGAACAGGTGCGCAATGTGTGGTCAAACGATAAGGATTGCATTTGCAGTTAAAGGAACGAAAGAAAACAATAACGCCATAATGTTCTTCATAAAGGACGAGCACTGGATAGTTCCAGGTCATGTACAATCATAGGGGTAATTACACTGGTAATTACATAGCTCTTGCCAATCTCATTCGGGAAGGTGCCCCCCCTAAGATTGGCCCTCATAGAAGATGAAAGTGAGAAACATGAGAGGAAAGCATAGTTGCAGGGCAGGATGCAGCTTCTTGGTGTATTCAGAAGACACACGTTTCTTTGAAGACAGGTTTGTTGAGTCAGTTTCCTCCGCTAAGGCGCGTGCTGGCCGCATTTGTGCCCCTGAGGGTATGGCAATCTATGACACGGTCACTGGGTTTATGTGGGGAGTGGCACGCGCTACTTTTAAGTGCAATGCGCTTCAAGTTTCAAAGGGCATTGTTTTCCTTTAAGAGAGAGAGAGAGAGATCCCCAACAATGAAACTATTGTTTTTTTGCGGCCCAATCATAGCCCCGGCTTACCGACGTGAGGCAAACAGTAAGCAGGTGGTCTGGTTGGGTGGGATAGCTCAAGTAACATAATCCGGGAAGTTTCCATTGGTGACGTTTGTGTTACAGTAAATGCATTGGACACTTGTATACAAAATTACACAAATATGTGACTTCCAAACCAACCCGGTCGTGCAGCCTTGCTGTTGTGTGGACTTTGCAGGAGCTGCACGATGATTTTCTCATGTGTTTTTCTACCTTCCAAAAGTCGGCCAGTGACAGCTGGACGTGTTCGCGCAAACCACACGTTTAACTTGTGCGGGTCTTCTGAACCCTGGTTGGCGTTGCTTCTTGTCCTTAATCGGCAAAAAATGCGTGTCTTGCCATAAATGCACGATGTACATATATAGATACTGTGCATTGGCTAGAGTTTGAGGATGTTTGAGAGCAAATCGCCCAACGACTACCCACGGACCGCATTTCGCGGAAAGGGCAAATACAAAGCATGCAATCCTTGATTCTTTGGTTCTTGCTCATTGAGCAGAGCGCACGAAGTTAAACGGCAGTGTTGCAGACGGGAAATCCAGATCAAGGAGACAGCAAGTCCCATTTTGGTTCAAGTGAATAACCCAAGGAAATGTTGGTTCATGGAGATCTAAATTGAAGTTGTTGATTCAAGATGGCTTTTCCAGTCCCAACCTATAATTCAGTTGCCTTGAAGGTTTGTTTCTTTACAAATGGACATTCTTGCCAATTCTTGCTTCTGCACAAAGTGGTAGCGAAACCGTGTTTTGAACAGGATGTTTTTCTGGTTTTGTTTTACCTTCACAACCCCCGATGTGGAACTTGATGAGCTGTTAGCTGTCCGGCCTTGGACACTCCACAACTAAAACATCCAGACCTTCCGGGTGGAAACCGCTAATTCTCAGATCATCCTTCGCGGCTCCATTGGGCTTACGCAGGGAGCCACAGTTTGTTGCACCTGGAAAGACTCCACACCTTGGACGGTTTGAATTAGCATGAACTTCACAATGTGTGCTTAAAATGTATTTTTTTGTTCAATGGTCTTAAATTTGTGGTTTGCATACTTGAGGATCCACTAACAAGAAAGGCCGTTTGGATCTAGGCTCACAAACCAGTGGACAGTGGAGACTTGTATTTTCGGAGCATGAACGTCCCAAGAGAAGAAGATTACTTGTGAGCAGAGTAGATGGCAGCATGAGGCTGATCCTTCCAGCGCAACTCACACAGGAGACCAGCTTGAAAGTACGATTGCCATTGGCAACGAGATGTTTAGAGTTTGCGGCTGGTCCGCCGGTCTAGCTGTTTAAGGCAAGCGCTGCTTTCGCTTGTTTTCCTGTGTGGCTTGAACAAACTATGCCAGGATTGTTTGTGTTGATTGTTCTTCTCATCAAATGACATTTGACACTATTTGATATTGATAATTATTGTGTTGAAATTCTCCACTGTCACGATCATGTACAGTAAGCCCTTTGATTGGTAGAGAAAGCACAGCTCAAATTTGCTCACTGTTGTAGCATGGCTGCAGATGCCTCCAATTATCATAATGCTGTGTAGCTACTGAAGCGCTGCTGTGATTGCCAAAGAAGTTTCAATCAAGCATCACCAAACACGGACATGTGACATCTACTATATAGTTTGCAATAGTGTGGCAGCTGAAGATGCTCTACAAATCTCTACAGGCATATCAATGCATGGGCAGGTAGGCCAGGTAGGCCTCAGTTGTTGGCCAGGAAGGTTAAGTAGGCGCCTTGGCCACCGCACAATGTCTCCACGTTTGAGCACCAACATGTACTCGGAACATAAGGCATACATTTGCTGAGGACAACAAAAGACAGTTCATTCAAGCTTATTATGGTTCCAAAGCTTGGAAGCTTGAGAATGGCCCTTTGTCACCTTTGCCTTGATGTAGGGGGAGTGAAGCCTACTTTCTACTATTTCTCTTACAAATCTTGTTCATACTGCTCAGCTCAGACCAATCGACGGTTCGGTGATAGACACTTGACACCATGTTGCTCACTGCAGGATTCACTTTGCGGTCAGTACAAGGATCGTTTCATTGCTGACTTGGGACTTGCATTAGTGCGGGCACCCAGATCTCACTGCGAAAGAACGATAGAATGCAGGTTGGCGCTTGTTGTAGCAACCATATTGTGCAACAACCTTGTGTAATTACTAAGAAAAGAATACTAAAATAAGGAAAACAATCTGTATATAATATAACGCAGTACATTAGACGTAAAGATTTCAAGACAATTATATAAATGAAACACCACTCATTGAACAATGTATATTATACATATTTGTCGATACCATTGGCATTAGTTTGTGCTTTTGCAAATGCATCTTGGTGAGCACGTACACACAAGGAGTCTCCTGCTTGCAGGTGATGGCCCTATCCGCAGCTGGGAAATTGAAACTGGAAGCCAGCTCGGTGTGGAGCTCAGGGGAAACAGGATGAATCCCTCCTGTTCCAGAAGATGTTTGGAGCGGACTGAGTTGATCACGAAAGCTAGCACCAGCTAGCTGGAGTTGTCCTTGCTTTAGCAAGTGAGGGGCTGGAATCCTCGAGATCGCCGCATCACGTGAAAACTTCATATGTAGAGGGCCCCCCCCCCCCCCCCCCCCCCCGGGTTCAACTCCCCCCTGCAACGCCTCGGGAACACTTCTTGGACACCTCTTATGGCATCCACTTCGGTTCAACTCCTCCGTGGAGGTTTTGGGATACGATGCAACAGATTCACAAGCTAAGGTTGGCTGTGTCATTGCTGTTCGTGTGTCTTACATGTTCACAACGTTTTACCTCATGAGCGAGACCTTGTGAACCATCCCTCCAACAGCCCCATGCCTATGAAAAAATATTTGCCTCACTCCGCTTGATGTCCCACCAGTCCTTTGTCACTGGACGGCGCTGTATGCTTCGCCTCCACTGACACGGATGCATCCCTGCTAGCTTTCGTCACCTACCCTCGGCCTCAAGTACAAGATACAAGTGCATTGGATGGGCCCAATTGGATTCACGGATCCACGGACCTCCAAAGTTGGAGAGCAATCCATTGGAAACACCGACCATGGGGATGTGGCAGACATATCACTACTACTCGCACTCCCCTAGTGGAGGAGATTTCCCAGCGGACATGCCAGGATGGTGTTGAGGCGACTTCATGTCAAACAACCACCCTCAAACCTCCTCGCACCCAAGAAGTAGTCAATTTGGGTCTTCGACATCCTCTTCAATTCGGTTAAATCCATGCGACTCCGTGGTGTCGGGAGTTCAAATGTAACACACACTCACTGGACCGTGCGACCCCAGAGCTTCGAGATACCATCCGGTACACACACTGGTTGAGAGCCAGCGGTCAATATTTGGAAACGGTGCA